TGATCCTGAGATACTCATTGTCAATACCTGACATCAGCCACTACCTTTTTCCACAACACATAAATGATTCTCAGTGTGTGATGAGGTTTTTATCTGGGGGTGTCCCATTACTTGCAGATGGAGGGAAAGTTGTCTCTGGATCGGAAGGGAATGGTAAAGATCATGGGTACGCCCACCAAAGTCCCAACAAATGCAAAGGACACAAACCATAGTGTTTACTATTACTATTCAGGAGCATTTTCATCAAGCAAAGCACCCCCATTGGCTATAACTCATGAACTTGTGCTGTGCCAAGAAATAATTAAGTAGTTTGTAACCTAGAGAAATTACTTTCCAGTTCTCATCAGGTCTGTTTACTTAGCTCTTAGGTGTTTCCGTGGAGAACATGACATCCAAGATGTAATTGAGGAGATGCAGGAGGAGCAGCAATCTTTGTCGTCTGTGGAGGTGGTTTCTGTCTTCCAGCTTTTAATGGACCGGACCTTATTCTGGCAGACTTTGTCTGTTGTTGTGATCAATATGGGTATGCAGCTGTCTGGAATAGATGCTGTAAGTCATAGATATATCTGCACAGGTAACATTTGTGTAAACCGGTCAAACTAGGCATCACAATTCAGATTAAAGAAAGATTTACAGAAAAAAGTTTAGGCTTACTCTGCAGGCTCCAGATCAAGATGCCTGATGTCCTCTCAGGTGTAGTGTGATCTGGCTATATCTGTATATTTCCACAAATAATCTTGTTGTTCATCTTGGGAAAATATTCAACCTACAAAGATCTCTGGATTTCCGTAATGCCCCCAAAAACCCTTCTTTAAATGTTTTGGCTAGTTTCTTTTAAATGTAACCACCTGTAGATGTGCCTGGAGTTTGTAATGCGTTAAGGCACTAGAAAAGACATGGCTCAATATAGAAATCCTCGACATTTGAAATCTTTTATTCCTCTTTTTTTTTTTTTTACTTTAGTGCTGCTGCAGAGGCTCACATTATTACCATGTGATGTTATCACATGGCACTGGAAGATTAGCTCTGCAAAGCACTATGTAGGCACAACACAATTGGGTATTGCAAGGTCAAATTTACCTCTAGGGTGGGGGAAGACGTAGAGGTGGCAATGTGTCAAGACTGCTGCAGTGTTGCAACTCTCTGGTCATGGTGGAACTAGAAGCAGCAGATTTTAAGCCATTTTATTTGATGCTACTACTGAAAACCAAAGAGACCCCTAGAGATTGGTACAGAGATTTAGTGTCTGAGATACTCGAAATGCAGTAGTGTAAAAGGTAAAACACACTGAATTAGGGGTAAAGAATGCTGTAAATGTATGGCGGGGTGAATTGTCACGACATTACTTATATTTTTGAATTTTTTTTTAACTTACGAAGTCATTTTACATGCAAAAATGCTATGAGTAGCACAATCCGGGAACCTAAAGAAAGGGCACTGTGATCTTTAGCCATGTCCCAGGAGGCTATAAACGCTACTTGAAATTGTTGCATTTTTAAGGCTGTGGTACTTTTCATGTAAACCTACTGTATGTTAACCCATTTCATTGTCTAGAGGATTGATTTCTGCTGCTCTGTTCATTTTGCAGATTTGGTTCTACACCAACTCAATATTTGAGAATGCTGGTGTCCCTTTAGTTGAGATCCCATACACAACAGTGGGGACTGGTGCTATAGAGATATTTGCTGGTCTGATTGGGGTAAGTGCATAAAACACAATTGATTTTCATTTTACCTTACTGTATATCACTTAAGATGACCACACTATTCTGTAACCCTTGCTTTACCCTTCTAGAATATTTGAAGATTATCAGGGTTATTCACAAAAGGGTGAGGAGTTTGGAGAAGGCAGGAGAATTGAACGATCTAGGACAACATATCTGAACTGAAAAGTGAGCTGAATTGGAGAATTTTTCCAAATCATCTATGTTGTCCTAGATTGTTCACGTCTCCTGCCTTTTTCTCCCTTTTTGTGAATAGACCTTTTGCAACCTGCTGCCAAAATCGTATGCATGTGTCTAAGTGTAGAAATTGTGTACAAATAGACCATTCTTCCAGATCTTACAAGTCAATATTTTTAAAGAGCGAAATCATTCTTCTCTTCAGAACTGAATTCCAGGCTGATACTTTTACCTGCCAAAGGATTTGTATTTCTGTCCACCCATCCCTGAGGTTTACAAAGCCCAAGTAGAGCCAGGTGGGTGACACCACTTACAGCCAAGAAATACAGTGGTTTCCTTGCTCCAACCCCAGTTTGCTGATTGGACAATGGAGACCGATGAGGTCATCCATCTGCTCTCTTAGGTGGTTTCAGGGGCAGGGCCCTCCTTACCATCTTGTCTTGAATTGTATTGTGATTGTAATGTCTTCCTTATGTTGTTAAGCGCTGCACAAATTGTTGGCGCTGTATAAATCCTGTATTATAATAATAGTAACACATTTGCATGCACTATACCTGATGGGCTTCCAGTTCTGCCTCTCCATGTTTAAATGTTGGTATCAGCCTCTTGCAATTCCCTGTAAAGCAAGTCAACTTCATTTAATGATGCAAGAGAATAGTGAACACTTATTCAAAATGCAAAAAAGTAAAGTAAAAATTTATGGCAAATGTACGACCGTCTACCATGCTTGAAGAGATCCTATGCAGCCTGTAAAGGTTTGTCCTATAGCAGTAAAACTAGATTCCAGTGGATACTTTCTAGTCTGTGTTTAAAATAAAGAGACCTTTTTAAGAATGCTTCCTTTTTTTGTTTTTGCGGCCTATGACAACTATAATGGAATCAATGAAATCCTTCTTTTTTTTTTTTTAGATGCTAGCTGCTTTTGTTACCGTAACCCAGGGGCTTTTCATTGCTTTCTCAGCCACTGATTTTTGAACGGTTATGTAGATCCAGACGTTCTGATTTCTACATCAGCGACTCTCGCATTGTGGCTTGTCAGTAAACATTTAGCAAATTCCAATTTGTTTTTTTGTTTTTGTTTTTTTTAACAGTAGAGTCCTTCTGGGTCTTCCACTGTCATTAAAAAGGGACAATGCGATCAGACACTGATGCATCTAGTACTTCAAGCTCAAGCTCTTTAGGATTTTTCCTTAGCTCTTTGTCTATCATCTGCACTATCCTTTTGTTCTTTCCAGGGTCGATTTGCCCTCTTCTGGGCAGGTCCAGGGACATTGACTAAACTACTTAATTATATTTGCAACTGTAATCACGGAAACATCAAGCTGCTTGGAAATGGTCTTATAGCCTTTACTTTTGGCATGTTGGTCTATTAACCTTTTTCGGATCTCCTTATATAACACTCTTTGCGTTCTCTGGTCCATAGTCAATGTGATGTACACAATGTTACGAAACAGCAGAGTGATTACTTGTCTCCATTCTAAATTGAATAAGCACAAGGCTGAAGACGTGTGATAATAATTACAGAAACAGTTTGAAATATGACTATGATCCAATTATTTATAATCTTCTAGGGGTGACAACAAATCAGGCCATTTTACAATATCCTAGTACAATAAGCAATAATTTATCTCTCTTTAAGTTTCCAGTAATGACCCGCCCTAAACTGACCCATAGCCCAATGACAAACCAGTAACAGAGGAATGGGATTTATTAGACCAGAATAAGCCCTGCAAATGATGTTTGGGTCAGACAATGCAACACAGACTATTAGGACAATCTTATTTCTGGCACAAAGAATTTTAAGAGAAAAAAAAAAAAGTCTAACTGCTCAGTAGATTAATACTTCTGCAGGAGAATGGCCTATTTACTATAATCGAGCTCTACGCATCTGACCACTACAGCATAAGCTACAGTTTACCAGTGTTGGGGCCCTTTACCCTTTACTCAGTGGAGCACTACATTGAGAGCATTTGTAATCCACAAAGTAAGGAAAGCAATACTGTTCCCTTTGGCAGAACTTCTGACAGCAGCAACGTTACATCAACCAGCAGCTGAAAAAAACACACAATGTTGGCCACTCACTAGCCTGGTTCTTCACAAATGTCCTCATGGGTGCAGTCTGTTCCTTGTTGGCTGCTCCTACAGACAGGAAACATGTGAACGTAAGATGGGCTGCTGTACCTCTAACCAGATGAAGGCCTCTGATGTTGACAACCAGATCTGATCTGTGAAACGTTGTGTGTGTGTGTGTGTGTGTCTCTCTCCTTTCCCTGCAGCACTGGAACAGCTGCATAGCATACAATCCACAGGCACTGCCCTGGACTGTAGGCACGCTTCTTGGTGCAGCACAAAAAAACCTGTGAAACTCCTGGCATCCCTGAGCCCTGTCACTGACCATGCTCTTGGCCTTACATTCTGAGCTGTCTTCTCCAGCAGCTTCCAGCCCTGTCCCCCCGGGCTCACTGTTTTATCCCCAATTCGCTGGCCAGGCCTCTCTCTCCACCGTAGGGGGTGCCCAATCCTAGTCCTCTCTGCCTGTCACTAGGACACAACTAGTCATACACATTCACTATTTTGCACACTTTAATGAAGTGTGAATGCCACAGTCCTTTTTTAACCTATAGCACTGCCTTATACTAATTTCTGTATAGAGCAATGAAAAGTGCTTACAATGCTGATGACCGCATACCAAAAAACCTAACATACCAAAAGCCTAACCTTTTATAAAGACACCGCTACTTTCACTGCCTTTGTTAAGAAACAATGCAAAATAAATGCTGTTATTTGTGAGACCGTTGGTAATATCTATAGTGCCATTCCTATAAAATAAGATGAATTTTAATAGTGATTTAGGAAGACGCACATCTCCTCCCCGTACTTTATTGCAACTTGAAGCAGGCTCTAGAATGGAGAAAGGTGTTGGCCACTAGGCCTTATAAGCACAAAGAAAAATTGCCACCTAACAAGCTGATTACTTTCATGTCGGTGTCTTGTCCCCTCTTGATCCCATCCCCGACCTCCCCCTTCTAGCATCCTCTTATTTTGAGCCATTTATAGTCTCCTTATCTGAGAGTTACCTCAGTGGAGAACAAATTTATAACAGTGCACTCGCTCCATATTTTTAACCCAGGGCTGGCCTGTGCTACATAACACTAAATTAGATTTTTGACAATTAGGGAGACTAATGCGAGCCATCAGCTCCCAGGAGCAAAATCTTGCAGTACGGCCTTTCTTTAATAAACACATCGCAGTAAAGAAGTGAAATTTAGAGCTCATAACCCACCCCCATCCTGCTTATTTACCCCTTTCTGTCTTACTGCAAATCCCCCTCTTTATTCTACTGTACTCTGACCTGCTAAATGGTCCTCACCATCCACTACTGAGCAGTAATAAAAGTGCTTGAAGTGGTGCAGAAGGAACGAGCTGTGCAGTATCTGGTTCACATTCACTCAAGCAGACTCATAGCTCTGGTCATCTGATTGGTCCTGAGTGGAGAAAGAAACGGCACCCGATGGACACTGGGAGATTGGTTATAAAATTACAAGCATTTGTTCTGCTGTCAATATTTTCTGCTGGTTTTGCTCAAAGCTTTTTTTTTTTTTTTTCTGCATCTCCTTTTCCAGAGGGGAGAAGCAAAGTTGAAGCGAATGCAGCTCTTCCAAGATTCTTTATGTATTTCATATAAACCCTTCCGTTTCTTTGATCAATGGTAAAGAATGGAAGATAGCAGTTAAGCTGCAGTTTATTTTCTATTTGATTGCAATCTTTCTTGATCTGTTTTCTACCCTTAACCAGGGATACACCTGCCAGTTATCTGAGATGGGAAAGAGGGAGGCATTTTATTAAAAATTTAGCCAGAAGATATACCCTTGCTGAAGCCCTACTTATGCTCCAAAAATTTCATAGGCACAACAGACCTTCGATGTCTTATCTGCGAAATAAACCTTTTAATCAAGTTCTGCTTAAAACCACTTAAAGTAGATCTAAACCCAATCTCTTAAATCTAAACTATATGCTGGGGGAAAAAACCTTGCAGTGGGCACCCCCACACTGCAAGAGGTAAATGCTCATTAACTGTAGGGGAGAGATGAAGAGGCTGTATTAAGCCCCAATCTGACATTCTCCTGTGCTCTCCTCTTCTCCCTGATATTCCAGGCCGTGGGTGGTCACTCAATGTCATTACATATGCAGGATTATCAGTCCTGCAGTGTATGTGGTGGAGGCAAGCATGGGACTTGTTGGGAGCACCCACGTAAGGAGGCTTTGTAGGACCAGTCACGCAGAGGGACTAAGCCTGCCGGAAAGTTGCATACATTTAGGTATTGCACCTTTTATTCCTCTACCCCTAGTCACAAACTAGCATTTGATTATTGCAGTGTGGGAGCCCCATGGCAAGGGTATTTTTTTCCTGAGCGGAGTTCAGCTTTAAATCTCATATAATGCTTGGCATGGCAATTTCATAAAATAATTTTTCAAACTTTCAAATCTACAGCTTTTATTAAAATAATGCCTGGCGCACCTCCCAAGAATGTCCACGTTCTGGTATGTAGTTACAAAGCTCTGTCCTGTCACCTGGTTGCTCTCCTGTGTTCTCTCCCTGCCAAATGTGCTTTCAGTTAAAAAAAAAATATTGTGTCCATGCTGATGCTCACTGTGCAGACAAGGTCTGCTGTTGTGACTATTATGAAGCCTCCTCTGACTAAAGACTTGCAGTAGATAGTAAGTAGATGCAAACAGGCTGGAGGAGATCAGCAGCACTGAGATGCCGGACATATTTAGAAAGCGTGAAAACAGTATTTTCTGAAAGAGGGAAAAAAAAAAACATGGCAACTGTCTGATCTGTAGTGCTTTAGCAAATGAAATGTCATCCTATTGGCATTCTTCCCAACTGTTCCTCATTTGGAGGGAATGACCCTCTTTTGGTACCAAACCCCTTTTGTCCTTCTCTCCTCTTCAGTTGTACAGATATCTATAAAAAGGTATAATTTACCTACTAAAGATCTTTTTGCAATGGTATTCCGGAGATCAAAATCCAAAAAAGTTTAACCCATATTAGCGGCGTATGTATACTACCGTCTACTCAGTCTTGTAACATAATTTAAACTTAAAGGGGAATTCTGTGATGAAAGATCACTGAAAAAAGTTGTTACCAAGAAGACTGGGACAGGTTTGAAAAGTAAAACTATTTTATTGATATTTCATTAAAATAGCACCATTTACATTGCCTTCCTTCATGCTTTTAAAAGAAGACGGATGTTTGCCTGAGTGTGAAGGACCACACATGCTGCAAACTCTCCACAGGATTTTTCAAGAAAGGTTTTGGGGTCTATACGAAGGGCCAGACTTGATGTCCAGCTGTGAACCCCCGAGGATTCGACTTAATATAGAAGTCGCCCATGCTGGGAAACCTACGATGAAAATCCGATGAAAATCCATCAGAGATAAAAGACATCATGGAAGTTTTCTCCATACCGGGATGGGAGACGGCATCGAGTGAGTACTGATCAAACCGATCGGCACTATACATATATTTGGAGTCTCTCCCGATGTAATACATCCTTTTGGATAGAAATTAAATCCCACAATGGCATTTACCATAGACAACATCCACAGGGGGAAACCTACTTGCAAGCCGTCAGCATAGACAGTGCATTAACCCCTTTACAACCGATTTAGTACATTTTCTTCTCAGCTGGCGCAAATTGAGCAATACCCATTGTTTTGGCCAGAATTGTGAGACGGGAAAATACCTACAATACGGCAAACCCCTTTGATGGTTGTTACACTACATCAATCAATAAAGCCGACTACACTTTTGGTGGACTTCCCTTTCGCAGGACTTTGGGAACACTTTTTGATTTTTCACAACTTCAGCTTTTTCAAGTTGCCAATGATTGTTTCTTTGAAACTCCACCAGAATTTTCGTCCCCCTTTTTTCTTTTTCCCTGTGTTGACCGATTTTTGCAATGTGTGTGTGTGGGGCCCATTGTTGTGAGTGTATGTAAGCCGCAGGCAAACGTTTGTCTTCTTTTAAAAGCATGAAGGAAGGCAATGTAATGCTGCTATCTTAATTTTTAATGAAATATCAATCAAATTAATTTTTTACTACTAAAGATGTTAACGTGCACCTTCATCCCATCTCTTAATCTTGTTTTCTATTTTGAAAAGTTAGTTTAATAAAAGTAATGGTGAAAGAGACCATTCTGGGTTTAACCAAATCTTTTTTTTGCATTTACGGTAATTCCTTAATGTGACCATTGCCTAAATACCTTGTGTTAGAAGGTGTTCCTTTTTCTCATCTCAGAAAGTTGGGTGGTATGCAGTTAAGCTTTACATATGATTTTACAATTGCTGGATTTTGCATGACTTCCTGTGCTGCAATATTTTGCATTAATCAGATATCTCACCAACCTCTTAAAGGCATTCATACTACTGTGAAAATTGTCCGGCCTTTTGTATATTCAGCTTTTTCCAAAGTTATTTCCCAAATGCCTCTTCCAGCCTGGTAAATCAGACCAGTTTAGGTGCCAGGCCCCACATTGATTGCAGGGTCTGGTACGACTATAGCTCCAGCTCTGCTATTCACGGTGAGTGATGTTGCGTACAGATGTGCCAAGAGTTATGAAATTAATTTAACACTTGTTAATGGTTATTTTTATCACAAATATGCAAGCAACACCTGGACACACACACACACACACACAGGCCCAGATTTCCCACAAGGCCACCAAGGCCCGGCCTCGGGGCGGCAGCGGTGACCTTGTGGGGAAGTTGCCGGTGTAAGGTGTTCGCCGACCGTACACTACGGTCCGCCCCCGTCCAATCACGACAGGGTGGCCCGAGGCTCCGCCCACCGGCTCCGTAGTGTGTGGCCACCGGCCAAAAAAATATATAGATCTATAAATAGATCTATATAGATATATCTATAGATAGATATATTAAATGAATATGGAGTAACATTAGTTGTTACTCCACTATCTGAATTTCAGGCAGTGTTCAGCCTATCTGCTGTCTTTGCATGGTTAGTTTTGTGCCATTTTAATGGTTCCTTAATGTGTGGGATCCCTCCTCTCTCCCATCAATAAGCTAAATTTATGTGACATGGTTTTCTTGGGCTAGGATCTCTGTGCTGTGTGATCATGGCTTGGGACTCCAAGAACTGGGGGTGCAAAGAAGATCACCCTCTCTGAGGCTGTAATCCTAGCCCTCTCCCCAGCACCAAATCTTACAGCTTCCTAAATAAATCCACCTTCAAAGCATCTTCTAAAGCCAACATTTTTTGGGGATGGTGTAAGGAAGATGGCAATATAAATCTCACAAGGGTTCTGTGTGTGCACCTTTTGGGGAGCTTCACTCTCTTTGTCCATTGTCACTGGGACTAAACAGGAGAGGAAATCTAACATTAGTTGTCACTGGAATGGGAATAGAGGGGATAATACTCCAAGGGGGGGTACTTCTGGTGATAATGGTCTGAGGGTTTTCCTCACTTTGGAGTGAATTTTAGTCTCCCTTCCTTTTGTGTGGACAGAAAGTGATGAGAAAAATTCCCTAAAGGGATACAGGCAAAAAAGTTTTAACCCTAAATTATTCTATCATTAACGAAAAGGAAAAATACATTTGCCTTGAAAAGCACTAATGGTAAATTAACTCTTCGACATCCCCTGTAAGCAAACACTCACTCATGCATAGCTGTTTGGTACTCTTTGTGAAGATGTCATAGTGACACAAATATTAAGTTTTTGTTTGTTTCTTTTTGCAGTGTTTCACAGTGGAGAAGCTGGGCAGACGGCCTCTTATCATCGGTGGATTTAGTTTCATGGGATTTTGTTGTGCTGGTATAACTATGGCTTTAGTATTTCAGGTTGGTAGCAACAAAAGATGCATCATTTTAAAGAAATTCTGCTTCCTGCATGTTTGGTGTGGATTCCAGCAATGTGCACTTAGGCTGGGTTCACACCTAGGCGTATCCAATCGGCGCGTTTGTCGTGTGTTTCCTGTCGCGATGGATACGCGCGGCAAATATGCCCCAAAGAAGCTCCTGTACTTCTTTGGGCGTAGGGCGTTTTGTAGCGTGTTCATACGGGCTGTAATACGCCCAGGTGTGAACCATACCCATAGGAAATAATGGGATTTCGGTGTTTGAGCGTTTTGCAGAGCGTAGGAACGCGCTACAAAACGCCCAGGTGTGAACCGGGCCTTAACATTGTAGTGGCTCCATGAATGTGAAAACTGCGTGCCTTAGTTGCATGCATATGCTATGGGAAGGGAGTATGGATCCCAGTACTAGCTTCTCGTTTCTGTCCCTCTAAGTCAGCTGTTTTGTACCACCCCCACCACCTCATTTGGGGTAGGATGGATTCATGCTAGATGTACTATCACACTACCAAGGTAGATTGTCATAACTGCACAAGGCACACTAAGGCTGGTGGTGGAGGGGCTGGTAGAGAGAGAGTGCCCATTTTGCATCAGTAAACCTGCAACCAATGCCTATAAGAGTATGGCCATTTGTCATCCTATCCTTCTCAGCAGTCTGGATCTAGGCATATAGATAAAAGGGTGGTTGGAGTGGACATGCACAGTCCACTCCTTCAGTGTTTTTCCACTGCAGGTTCCTCAGCAGCCCATATTTTACTTTGTCATCTTCCACAGGTCATTGAATCCATATGACTGGCTCAGGGATTAGTTCAGCTGATTTTTCCTGAGAACCTGACCTGTAAAGGTGCCCATACACTGCTCGATTTCTCGTACGAGAATCGCGGGAAATCCAGCGATCGTACGACAATCGAACAGTGTGAACGAAGACGTGCGACCGTTTCTACTGTACGGTCGCACGTCTTTTGTCTAAGGAGCATGTTAGAAAACCAGCCGAGAATCGTACGATTTTGGGCTGGTTTGAACAGTACTCGGGAGACCAATGCCGAACGGGCCGGTGTGCTCACGCGCACACTGCCCGTTCAGCATTGCAGTCATTGGACTCGGGGGCGGGCTTGCGATGATTGAGAGTGCAATCTGCCTGTCCAAGATGGGCAGATCGTACGTTTTTTTTAAACCACTTTACAACCATCGCAAGACTAATGTCCTCCGATGGTTGTACAGTGTATGGCCACCTTTAGGAGCACATGAGTACTTGAGTTGAGACACTGTACTGTTCCACCAGTGAAAATACTCGCTGTGCAACAATTGGGAGATAGCCTTATTTAACAGGCAAACAGGCCTCCGTCTACAACTTTCTAATTCACACAGGAATATGTTACTGATGGTTGGCACCATGATTTGTAGGTGGATGGCTCTGTCAGCCCTGCCATCCCAGACCATGGTCTATATTAGCTATGCAGAATTCCAGCACCGACTGCTGGACAACTTCCATACTTGTTCATCAAGGTGGAAATGTCAACAATTGTGAAATTTCTATCATTTAAAACTTAAAGTCCAGTTTTTGTTAATAATTAAGGTACTTTGATGCATTTTTAAGGTTTAACTCCTGAGCTTGGTGTAATTTTTTCCAAGATTGTAACTAAAGCTGGCCATATACTGGTAGATTTTTAGATGACATGCAGAAAATATCAACTGAAAATACAATAATGCCATCAGAAACTTGACAAATGTAATTTGAAAGTTTATTGGAACTTCTGATTTTAACAAGAATTGAGTTTCCTAAACAAAAAACACATTTACTGTTAGAATGTCATTAATTTGAGAAAAAAAAATTAATTTCCATCCTGCTCCTTTTTCCCCCACCCATGACTGCAGTTTAAAATGATCAACTGGTGGATGGCCTGCTTAACTGTGCACATGTGAGCTTGGTGCCCAGTCAAACTGCAAACAGTCATCTTGTAAATTAGTTCCTTATCTTGTCCTGGAAGCTAACCGAGCAGATATCAAATAACTACTGTTTCTTTAAACCAGGCGTTTTTTAAACTGTCCAGAGTTGCATCATTTTGTGTTTTTCTAGACACGTATATACAGAAAAATCTAACCACCAAGTTCAGTGATTTACCTGTTCAGAGGAAATCCATAAAGCATCTGTTAGTGTAGCCTAAGGATAAGAAAAACAGTTTAAATTATATGCTTGTGTAAAAGAGCATTTTTTATTGTGCCAGAATAACTCCTCATATTTAACGCTGAAGTGGTTAAAGAATGACCAGTCTGACTATGACTATGGCTGCAGCTGAGAAATGCAGCTTTTGGATACTTAATCACCTTGGGTCTTGGGCCTTAGGTCCAGATCCTCTGGATGATAATAGGTGACATGTATTTGTTTTCTTTCAGGCAAGAGTCGCTTGGATGCGATATGTTAGTGTGGTTTGTGTCATTGGAATTATAGCCGGTTTCTGCATAGGTCCAGGTAGGTTCTTGTCTCCATGTATTTTTACCAATCTAGTTCTGTAAAGTAACTATAATAGGCAACATTATAAATGGACCACCGGTCAGCCCTCTGGATCCAATGGGGATCTTGCTTTTAAGACCACTGCAACTTATAGGGCAAGAATTTAACCCCCCCTGCGTGAAATCGCTGCCCCTATAAGAAATAACTTAATTGGCTTACTAGGAACACATCTAATAAGGTGTATTTTACCTTGTTAGTACGTTGGTGATGTCACAGATAATTTTTCGCCCTATAAGCCCCTCCAGCCTTAAACATGGGATCTTTAGTGTATCCCATTGGTTGACCAGGTGTCACTCAGGGAGTGGAGAGCCTTGTTTAGACTCCTTAGGGTGAAGACTTCCTGTTGGGAGTGCTACAATTCTGCCAAACAGTGCATTGGTAATGTGTTTTGGAGCATAATTTACCTGCTTAATAGTATGCTGGGTGATATTTGCCTGGTGGAGACCTCCAATCAGTGCTGGCATGATCTATTCAAACCAAGTTAAACTATCAAAAGTATAACAATCACTTAAGTACAGAATGCTGACTAACCGAGTGATCTATAGCTGGCGACGATTAGACCTCCCTTTGTTGCCGCCAGTCTACATTTTTAATGCCTTTGCAAAATCTTTTACTTGTCCCTCGCTATTCTTGATGCATAGCTTGACCAGTGGACATAAAGCACTTCTTCACATAACAAAAAGGGGGGTAACAGGGGTAACCGTGTTTTAACAGAGAGAGCACTGTAAAAGAAGGTTATTGAATTGACCGAGACCTATGGTTGTATAAAAGTATAAACTTTATTGATTACAAGATAATATATTCGGTGTCTGTTAACTCACTTCTCACTTCACTGTAAAATTCAATAACCTTCTTTTACAGTGCTCTCTCTGTTAAAACACTGTTACCCCCCTTTTTGTTCTGATTACTTTTGGTTATATGACCTCGATGACCTATTCCAATGATTAATTAAACATTAAAGGGGATATTTAAGGTATATCAGAACTCCAGGGAACAAACCTTTTTTTCACTTCTTCACATAACCCTGTCTGCTCTCCCTATGAGGAAAAACTTTTTGTAGTGGACAAAAGGGCATTGAAATATTTTAAACTATAAACCTTTGTTTAGAGAAGAATGAGGGCTGCCATTGTTGACTGCCTTTTGAAAATTCTAGTTCCCTGTCTATCATGCAGATTAACTGCTTTTTGAGTCCTTTACCTGCAACTAATATGCAGATCAGAAAGGTCAGCGTAAACATATGTCAGGGCAAAATTTTATAAAATACATGCTCCTTTCCCCATGATGTATCACTTTTAACAGCTTCCTGGCCAGCCGGGAGCTTCTTGGATCTGAGCGGCCGTCTAAAGATGGCTTTTTATCCCCGCCCACTCGTGCATGCCTCACGGCGCACGCGAATAGGAAACTGTAAACATTTTAAAACTGGCATTGATGCCTGTTTACATACAAGCGATCCGCCAGCTATAGAGCCAACGGATAGCTTGTATGAGGTGCCGATCAGTGTGGGGGGCCGCCACCCGCAGCTCTGGTCCCAGGAGATGTGACAGGAGATCAGAGGGGGATCAGCACACGATCTCCCTATAATCTCCTCTCCGGTGTCAGAATGCGGAAGTGATATACACTATATTACCAAACGTATTGGAACGCCTGCCTTTACACGCACATTAACTTTAATGGCATTCCAGTCTCAGTCCGTAGGGTTCAATATTGAGTTGGCCGACCATTTGCAGCTATAACTGCTTCAACTCTTGTGGGAAGGCTGTCCACAAGGTTTAGAAGTGTCTATGGGAATGTTTGACCATTCTTCCAGAAGCGCATTTGTGAGGTCACGCACTGATGTTGGACGAGAAGGCCTGGCTTGCAGTCTCCGCTCTAATTCATTCCAAAGGTGTTCTATTAGGTTGAGGCAGGGGCTGACTGGCAACTTTTAGCCCAGGGGGCAAGTACAACCCAGAGGCCCATGGTGCAGCAACTTGGCCTCCCTCCCGCTCTGCCTCTTCCCCCCGCCTTCTCCTTGCCCGTCTGCCACTTTTGCCATCCATGTGAATGGTCCATGTGAATGGTAGTGTGAATGGTCGGGTGATGTGAGGCAGGGAGGAGGTGCGGTGTGTGGAGCGTGGATGCGGGCAGGCGGGTCTGGCAGCAGCAAGCCTGAGGCGGGGAGGAGGTGATGCATGTGGATGTGGGCGGGTCTGGCAGCGGCAAGCGTAAGGCGGGAAGGAGGTGCGGCGTGTGGAGCGTGGATGTGGGGGGGCGGGTCTGGCAGCGGCAAGCGTGAGGCGGGATGTAGCCATAGACTCTGCAGACAGTCGGCGAGTTCGGTGCACTTCAGCATGCGCTGACCCGCTCTGTTATTTCAAGTGGTTAAGAAAAAAAACAGAAAAAGAACTGTTGATTTTCCAGAAATCCAGTGGGCTCTGAAGCTGACAACACTGATGCTTTTCTACAATTAAACTCCAACCAGTGTTGCCAACCATACCTGCTGGGCTACAGAACCCCCTCCCCCCCCACACACACACACAGTAATGTGCTTCCCAGAAAAAGAGCCAGCCAACACAATGTGTAGGCAGAGGACCCTCAGGAGATGTTCTGGGGGTATGCCTACATTGATTAGAGAAGAGCTGAGCTCCCAACAGCTGCCCCTACAGGAAATGCATGTCTGGAGATTTCACGGGCAATAATGAAAGTTGTTTTTTGCTACATGAACAAGCTAAGGGAAAAAAATGCTGTGACATGCTATAGAGTGGGGGAGAGGGAAGTTTAGGGATATATTTGGGTAATGCCTTGCCATGGGTTTTAAAAATTAAGTCATTTATCTGGAAAAAATACATAAATAAGATCTTCTAAATAGTGAAGACAGAGGGTCAGCATGATAGCACCTAGATTTAGCAGATAAATTATGCTGTCATGTTATTTCTAATATATGTTCCAATGTTCTATTAACCAAAAAATACATGTTAATGCAAACCCACCTAGAGCACAATGTTTCAAGGCAGTTTAACTAGGAAAGAGTTAAAGATTTATTTAAATGCTTTGCAGAGTCTTTCTTAAAATGATGGATGAAGACTGGGGTGGTTTATCCCATTGATATATTAACTATGCCTCCAACAAATCTATAATTCATTTTCAGCTAAGAATTTATTCAGTGTAATTACATCTTTAATTAGGATTTTTATGGCTCATTGTTCATAAACAATGATGAATATGACTTTAAAGCAACCAAGATTAGAAAAAAAAACTGCATCAACACCATTCCTGTCTCCATGTTCTGCATGAATTTTTCTGCATTAAGAGTCCTATATGTGGCATGATGTTAAAATAATGCACTGGTATCTAAACTTGCTTCATAAACACATTAAACTTACTTGGGCAACTATGGTCCGCCGGTGGAAGATCGTCTATTAGCATTGGTCTATATTCAGTTGGTGATCTAGAAACTGATTAAAATGCCAAGACGTGTGACTCCTAATGAAGCCCTCTCAGCACAGAATGGACATGGAAATTTATATAGGTGGATTACTGGCAAGCTTTGTCAAATCTGTCTGGGAATTATTTAAAGGATATTTGCCCTCCTAGAGGGTCAGTACAACCAAAAAGCATATTTCAGTTTTGACTGAATGCAAGTGTCCTGAATCACTCACTGGCTTTGTATAATTCTTGAGATCACCTGTGTTGAGATGTCCATGCTATCGTTGCAGTTGTTGGTTCTAGTGCTGCCCATCTTGGGAAGTCTACACTTTCCCAGTTTCATGGTTGCAATACAATACAGTATATGTGCAACAGGAAGAGAGGCAACTCATTGTAAATGTTGCAATGGACAAGAAAGCCTGGGAACTGAAGTAAAAAGATCTTGCCAACATCTCAGTAAAAATGTATCAATGCTGGTTTTGCCAAAACCTGAAACCACAATGACCAGAACCAATCAAATATACCGTATATACTCGAGTATAAGCCGTCCCGAATATAAGCCGAGGTACCTAATTTTACCACAAAAAACTGGGGAAAAATCCACGATATTCAAATAGCACCCAAAGACAAAGTAATGCACTTATTTTCTGCATTTGCCAGAAAATTGGAGCCAAACCAGTTTGGCGATTACATTTATTGAGCTAAGCAATTGTCACTGTGCAATTGTGAAATAACTATATGCTAAGCTTACTACAGCACCTAAAGACCAATTTATTCTTGCAGTTAGCACCTAACAAAAATGTTAGGTTGTACTGTACATGACATACTGTATTTGAATAAGTTTGTTAAATAACTGTTCACAGAACCATTACTGAATATGAATCTTTTCTTGGAACGTAGGTCTCAAATCACTATCAAATAACTGTTTACTTGTCTTGGGTGCTCTTTTCAGACCCAGGGTATTACATTTCTATAGTAAACTATAAACTGAGGGTGTCTGCCCTCTCCTGGCTAATCTAAACGGTGCTCTGTATTTTTCGGCATGTAGCAATTTCGATGCTGCAGACAAATTTTTAACCAATACCAAAGGAATTTAATATAAACGTTCAGACCCAAGTCAGAAGAGCGGGGGCATATGTTTTGAGTGCCTCAGCTGTGAGCTCAGTTTCCAGTTTTTCCTCTGGTGACTAGCAGCTCTTGGTTTCTCTAAAGGAATATATGGTGAGAGAGGGAATCCGTGTGTTGATCTCAGACCATTGACCTGTGTGTCTCTTGGACAGGAAGGGAAGAAAATGTCCTGAATAGGAATAAAGATCGTAAATGAAATTCAGACTATCTAACCCTGAAATCTGTCAGTTAGAACGTCATAGCTGCTTACAGAACATGCATATAGAAAGGAATTCTCCCTAACAAAAACACAGACAACTAACTCTAGCCAAGATGTAAAAAAAAACATCTTGCCAGTACTGGTTTGTTTACTGGGTGACTACACTCTCTCACTTCACTGTATCTATGGAGGGAGCCATGGTTGTAAGCCCAGGACAGGACCACAAACACGTCATCTTCCTTTTCATCTCCATTACATGGAGACAGGGAATTGCTCATTTGTAGAAGATACCTGGAAGAAGGATTTGTATCCATTAAAGGAGAACTATGGGGTCAGTGTTTTTCCACATAGTTCTCCTTAGGGTTACGGGAGGACACAAACTCCCGTCACCCTAAGCTCAGTATACCGCGAGCTGCAGCTCGCGGTATACTGAGACGCCGGAGCGGATCCCGACTTAGACGACGGGATCCGCCCAGCTGCGTCCGTTCCGCCAGTCAGCGCTGGCAGATCGGAGCGGGGAGAGGGGAATCCAGCCCCTCCCCCTGTCACATCAGAGAGCCGTGACAGGATAGAGAGGTGAGCGAACCCGGTATGTGTTCGCTCACCTCCCGATCTACTGAGCTGACCTGTGACAGTCTCATTGTCACAGGTCGGCTAGAACTATGAGATGAGTGAAAAGCACTCACCTCATAGCTCTCCTTTAAAGTCAAAGGAAGTTACAAGGACGCTGCATTTCTGGCAAGGTCAGCTGGAATTTTCTGTGCTTGCTGAAAATGTTCTTAGCCTGAAAAAGAGACTAAGGCAGTCGAGGTATCTATGGACTGTTAACCTGCAATATATTAAATATCTGTTCTTGATTTTAGATGTCCTTTAACTCTGTTTAAAATGACATTTAGTGTACAGTAAGGTGCTGGAGTGTTTAAGTCAAAAGATTTTTTAAGCTATTTCAAATGCTGATGAAATCACTTAAAATGGATGCTGCTCCCTGATGTTTAAACGTTTAAGTTTCATGCAGAATAAGCCTACCTCCTGGGCACTGACCCTGATATCCTGTTTTAGGGTGACTCCTTTCCCTTGTAGGGTCCTATGGAGCCACCCTTGTGTGTGCAAGTAAGCTGTGTGTGTCTCCAGACACAGCAAAGCAGGCCTCTCTCTCCTCCCTGCTCCCCCTTTTTCCCTTCTCCAAGCTAATAGATGGACAGTTGCTGGAGACTGCTCTCTTGAGATCTTTTACTCAACAGGAAGTTCAGGGAAGTGGAGCTGAGAGAGTTGGAGCTATTTGGAAACATGATTACTGTAAGTACATGGGCAGAAATGTAAAGAAATAAGTCGCTGGGCAATGTATATTTGTTCTGGATTTGCTATTGGAACAAGTTTGAGCATTTAATACATTTTCAAGTGCAAAGTTGGTTTTAAGTTTGTCTTCAATTGTTTTAGTGAATGCATATTGGTTCTGTTTTATCACATGACTTTTTGTTGTGCTAGAAATTACTGTATATGCTATCTACTGACAAAGATCGGATTTAAAAATGTTTTTTTTTTTTTTAGCTGGACTTCCATTTATAATGACAGGAGAGCTCTTCAAGCAATCTCATCGCCCAGCAGCATACATTGTTGGAGGAACTCTGAACTGGTTGTCCAACTTCACAATTGGTTTTGTGTTCCCCTTCCTTCAGGTATTGTCATTAACCTGTATGAGGCTACACAGACTGCTGGTTAAAGGTGTAGTCCTATTGCATGCTGGTGACTTAGAGTATAGAAGGAAAGGTGTTTCTGAAATGGAAGGAAGTTGTACAATCTTTAGAGCTGAGAAATCAACTTTGTTCTGGAACATTTACAGCGTTGACCGAGGTTGTGCTGCAAAGTCATCATTGGCAGTAGCTGAAGGGATGAGCGTGCCACAATTGTTTGCTACTGTAAAGCAGGCTGTGGGCATTACTTTGTTTAATTTAGCATATGTCTCTTGTATACTACAGCAGCAGAAGTTAACTGCCTGAGTTTACTGTGCTCATATACCTGGCATGTGTGATTTTGGTTAATCTGGTATCCCCACCTTTTAGAAATACAATATTTTGTACTGCAAGAACACAGGTGCTAATCGGTGAGAGATTCAAAGGTTGAATTTCCGGCAAACGGCGAAAAACACAGATTCAATGCATATGTGGGAGCCATTTTACCTGTCCATCCAATCCTGAGCTTTACAGAGCCTGGAGTTCAGCTTTAAAGCAGAAGTAAACTTTAAAAAAAAATAGTTTGCCCAAATAAGACTGCTGTTCACCTCTAGCAGTTTATTGCTTGTGTACATTGTCAAGCGCATGCACCATGCAGTGTACTACCCTGGGTCCTCCTGGCATCTATAATATGCCAGTAATGGAGCTAGATGCCAGGGACAATGTAAATCCTATGCCCATGCATGGACATTGTCATCAGAGGCAGCCCAATTACCAAAGATAATGACAGTATGCAGAAGAAGCAGTGGAGGAGATGGCAGAAGTCATTGATGGAGCAGGGACTGACAACCTGGTCAGCACTGGAGGAGGGCACGTTTGTAAGGCAAGTATGCCATAAGCTGCATATATTGCTGTGCACACTTTCACATTATGATGAGAGCTCTCCTTTACTTTTCAACTTTACCTCCACTTTAACATTCCCAGCTCTTAACTTTATAATAGAAAGTGTGCAAATCTAAAGGCTAAAGGGATGCAAGGGTGCTCTTTTGCAATCTTTGAAACACGGAAGGGCATACAGGATCCTCCGATACAATGGAAATCAAGGTGTGATTTATCTAAATGCTTGGTTTCTATATGTCTCCAGTCAACCTTTTCATAACCTTTTTATGGCTCTTTAGTTGCCTGGATAGACTTCTATCAGCAGTGTATCCCCTTCAACGAACAAGTCCTAAACTTTTTTTTCTTTTCTTCTAGAGGTCAGCTGGACCCTTCTGTTACCTGGTATTTTGTGGGGTCTGTCTGTTTGTAGCTGTATATGTTTATTTTGTGATCCCAGAAACAAAGAATAAAACCTTTATGGAAATAAGTGAAATGTTCTCCTCTGGAAAACCCCTATCTACACCTGTGGCTGTGGACAACGTGAAGCTGAAGAAGATAAATGGCTATGGAGCATTAGAAAGCAGTTCTCTGGAATTTTCAGTATCTTGAAAGAGACTGACCTATGGACTTGGAAGACATCGTTAAACTCACACCAAGTGTGGCCTCCGAAGGATGAGAAAGTTGGAAATATCTGTATTGTTCATGAACTGACAAATGTCCATCTTGGGCTTTCTTTCAATAAGAAATATGGTAATATTTGTATATAAATACTTAATACCTTGAAAATGTGGCTAAAATAAATCATGATGCCCTTGACATTAATAATATGTTAAGGATTTCTCTTCTATTAACAAATCTGTGTCTATGAATAACAAATGTCACTGCAGTCATTATCCATCATCATCATCATCACCTCCTTCCACGGAGGAAATGGGTAATCTTAGTAGTAGTAGTAAAGCCAAACCAGGAATAGTTGAATTGTATATTTGGCTTTGCTTTGTGGTAGAGGTTCTAGGGGAGAGACCATTGTTTGCGCTGGGTGTGGGATCTTGCTGGTAGAGCATTCTTTGTTAAGCTAAATTCAGTGGACTAGAGGCAGAATGCTCCAAAGAAAAAACATAAGGGACAATCCATCTTTAATATTATATAGGGGTATTACATTAAAGCTGAGGACTTTAAAGGGCTTCTCCACTTTAATCTAAACATGACCCCCTACTTGATACATCTCTGCTGTTGTACAGTAGAAGGGTTTGGTCCAAACTATCCTTTTAACAAACTGTGATCACAAATCGTTTGGTTAAATGCAATAATAACTAAACCTAAATCTAATAACCGCATGTAAAAATGTGTACATACAAATTTCAAGTTATGAGTGGAAACTGAAATAGCAGACTCAGATTTTCTTTTGTTGTGGTGTCTTCTTACTTTCAATCCATTTTATTTTGGTGAGCTTACTGAATTGAAGTTATCATGTGTTGGAAAATGCCAACTCCTCCTTACTTGTTTTAGTAGTGTGTCTGTTATGTACAGGTATCTGCATCTTGAAAGGGATTTTGTCCATTTATAATTAGCGGTGCTCTCCATGGAAAATGCCCTTTTTAGGTGTGTCTTTACTACTACTACCTGAAAAGGAGATTTAGTCATACCTTTTTAGACTATGACACAAGACTCACCGTGAGCATCTCCTTTGGCACTTGGAAAAAAATCCATTTAACAAGGTTTTAGAAATTCACAAGCTACTTCAAATGAACAGAGCCTGTTGTCATGTATTCTATCAGAGTTGATTCTGGAGGAGGCAGAAGAAAACTGTGCACTTCACATTCTTTAACCAATGTTTTCCATCTTCATAATTTTAAGTTAAGAAAGATATATCCCAGAGAGCCTCTGACAATTTTCACTCCTTGCCTATGTGGAATTCTATCAGTGCTGATTCAGAACCAAAAAAAAAACATTGAAAATTAGCAGCTGACAATTTTTCCTCTCTACGTAGACTTTAGCATTGATTTCACAAATCAAACTTAATAACATTCTCTATATAGCTTCTATGGTTTATCAGTGTTGATACAAATGAAGACTCCACTGCTTTAGGTGCCCGTTTCTGGCCACCCTGTCTATGTATCAATGGAAGCAAATTCAACCCCAGCAAGACATTATCCTTTATTCTATGGACCCTGGCTGCACAGTGTTTATCAAATGTACACAAGGTAGAGCCATACTGAGCAGTTGGCCTCAGAGGGCAGGAACCCCCAGTGGTGGAACAGTATAGGTGTTCTTTCAAAAGATACCTAAACAAGAATCTCGGTGTGCCCACACTCCTCCCTATTCTGTTCAGAAGACAAAGACTGGAACAAATCTCCATTCTGACTAGACAGAATGACAGACTTGGTTTTCTAGTATTGAACCAATGTTATGGTAATTGGGGAGTGGAGTACTGTCCTTCTCTAACTGCCCTCCAATCAAATCTACTACGTGGTACTACCATTTTTCCATGGCATTTACAAAATACTGGAAATATTAAGCAACAATTTCATTCTACTAATTATGTGGTATTTTAAGTAAAAAGTCTTCCCTCCTGAATTGTTTAGTAAATGTTCCTTTTACAGAATAATGTAATTCTCAAGCGAGCAAAAAAATGTCATTGAGGTGAGATGAATTAGACGGCACATGTGAAGCGGTAAAGATAGGTGATTAATGGCACAACAGCAGTTTCATTGAGTTGACTGCCATCCGTGAATTGATTAAATACAGCATGTTACGCAGTTTGTATAATGATGAATGGGTAGCCATACTTTTACCAGCCTCTGGGTGCAACTTTAGCAGACTTTAAAAATGGGTGAAATTAACTATGTTAAGTCTCTGCTCTTCCACAGTTCCTGCAGATGGTGGGTTAGGAGTAACAGCCCATCGTTCAATCGTGCTATATTTATGCTGATTATTGAGTTTAGGTGTTTCCAGGGTAGGGTACAACTGCATACAAAAACATTTTGGGCAATTCTGTGCTTCCAACCTTTTGGTATCAGTTTGGGGGAGGTTGCCTTCTGTTCCAACATGACTGTGCCCCTGTGAATAAAGCTTCGGTTAATAAAGACATGTTTTTCGTGAGTTTGGTGACTTGACCTTGGCCCACCTGAAAACCATTAGAATGGCTTTGAAAGCAGACTGTAAGCCGGGTCTTCTTATCCCACATCAGTACAATAGTATCATAAAACTACCAGACACATTCCAAAATTTTGTGACAAGCCTTCCCAGAACAGAAGAGTTGTTATAGCTGCAAAGTGGTGCCAAATCCATGTAAACATCCATGGTTTTGGAATGCAATGTCCAGCGATTTTTATATAGGTGTGATAGTCCGATGTTCACCAACTTTTTGAAATTTTGTGTACATAGATACATAATGAAGTCAATTTAAGGTTGCAAAAAAACTATTTGGGGGTTATTCACAAAAGGGTCAAGAGTTTGGAGAAGACAGGAGAAGTGAACAATCTAGGACAACAAAGCTGAACTGGAAAGTGAGCTGAATTGGAGAATTTTTACAAATCAGCTATGTTGTCCTAGAGTGTTCACTTTTTCTACCTTCTCCAAACGCTTCACCCTTTTGTGAACAACACCATTTGTGTTAATACATTGAAGACAATGGAGTACCTATTTTTATATTTACTCTGGAAAACCCCTTTTTAAATATGCTTAGTCATTCTGGCTATTCTAAGTATTTGCAGAGATGGAATGTAGGCAGGTGATATGGTGGCCACTGCTAGTTGGAGGAGTACCACTGTTGCATAACCAGACTAGCAGGGTGGGACCTCTGGTTACTACTGGTACTAGGGGGAGCTGGTGATCGCTAAGTCACTTCCTTGTCTTACTGTAAAAAACAGGTCATATAACTGCAATATGCTACTGGCTTTAGGGTGAGCCCAGTATAAAACCAATTTGTCTTCTGCAATGGGCTCTTGGGGTCATCTTGGGAGACCCTTCATCTAATCGGAAAAACAGTTCTCTGTGTGGCGCTCACTCCCGAAGGAGCCGCTGAATGTACCAGGTCCGTATCTAGTCAATCTAGGGATTGATTTCCAGCTGCCCCATAAGCACTAACCGCCCTCTTCTTGCTGCCCATAAATTGAGGTCCACTCCAGTTGTAGGATGCTAATTGAACAATTTATTTAGCTTCTAATAAGGGAGAGAGGGTATAGAGCAGTGGTGGCGATCCTTGGCACTCCAGCTGTTTTGGAACTACAAGTCCCATGAGGCATTGCAAGGCTCTAACAGCCACAGACATAACTCCCAGAGGCAGATGCATCTTGGGATTTGTAGTTTTGGCACAGCTGGAGTGCCAAGGTTCGCCACCACTGGTATAGAGTCTAGGTGCACAGGCCTTCTTAGATCCAGACTCACTGAATCTTATCTTAAGGGAGTACATATCCATGAAAGAACACTGATACCGCTCTGTAGTCCACATAAATCCAAGGCACTTAGAGCCTGTTGTGGTCCTGGTTCTTCCATCTTTTAGGCATTCTCCAGGTTGCAAGCCTCCAAGGAAACCTCTCCCTCAGCAAATGCTCACCCCCCAGGCCTCTGCCTAGCCTGGGGGCAGGCCGAACAGGACCCAACCTTAATCCATGGCTGGTCCAGGCAAGAGAGAGAGCACATGGCAGCTCCCACACATATATGTACACTCTATCAGTAGGCACCACACGCTGTAAGAAGCCCAGTAACTGGCTGCTGCACTGTACACACATTACAGTGTCACCCATTGGCTGTCCCACAATGTGACAGAGTGACAGGTGTACAAGCAAGGTTGAACACCTGGGATTAACCATGTGCTGGCTGCTACCAATTCAGCAAGGCTGTCTACAGCCCTGACATGTCTCTAAATGCATAGTAGGCACTTCACAAAAGGTGATGGGTGCTACATCTGTATAGCCTCTAAGTCTCTCTTGCACCTAGAGAGGCTATAGGGAACCCTGCTGCAGGAAAGTGTGCAGGTAGGGACGGATTGCCTCTTGTTCCAGACAAATAAGCCCCTCTCCTCAGTTAAAGAGGGTTGGAGTCCTGGGACCCAGGAAGCAAGTAGGCGGACTCCCTAGAGGTATGTGCAATCTGTGACTGTACACTGGCTTTGCATAAGCTTCTTAATGTAATCCCTGCACTTTTTTTCCTACTTGGAGGTATGCTTTTAAATGTGCCCTGGCGCTTAGAAGGAATTGAAGGATACAGTGTTCTTGTAAAAGCTAATTCCTCTTTTTAAAATGAACAATTGTATTGCATTCTCGCTAAACCTCTGCCACACAGTAAGCACCCACCAGAAGAGAATGTGATACACTTGCTGCACTCGACTGCATGACCCGCTGGAATCTACCCAAACCTGAAATGTCTTCTTTAGATGGATATAGAACATTCCTAGACAGTTGGATATCACTGACAAGTACTAGCTCTCCTCTTCAAACAGCATCAATGTACACCTCTTGGTACAGCCTTTCTTGTTTGTTGTTTTTACATCTAGAGCAATAAGCAGTAAGAAAAAAGATCATTCAAGATCAACAAGGCTATCCATATGCTTCAAAGAAGATCTTTAGAATGGGACAATGGATTGATTTCCTTCAATCCTACAGTCTATACCTTGCTATAATCCTTTCTGAATGAAAAGAATGTTAAAGGAGAACTATGAGATGAGTGATTTCCACTCACCTCATAGTTCTAGCCGACCTGTGACAATGATGGAAGGTCTATAGCAAACCACCATAAATAATTGTCATGGGGGGTTCTCCTTTATCCAGGACATGGTATAGCTAGTAAGAGTTAGTCACATTCAACTGGACTTGTTCTAAAAT